ATATATATATATATATATGGTGTTCTATATCTACTATTGATGAGGTATTCTGCTTCAACTTCCACTGCTTGATAAACACTGTGACCCAAAGTAACTTAGGAGAGGAAATAGTTATTTCAGCTTCTAATTCCAGGTCAGTTCATCACTGGGGGAAGTCAAGCAGGAAGTGAAGCAGAAACTGTGGAGGAGCAATGCTTTCTGTCCTGCTCTGGCTAGTTCTGCTAGCTCTCATATACAGATCATGCCTGCCTTCCTAAAGGAGCTATAGCCCACTGTGGGCTGGGCCCCCCACATCAATTTACAATCAAGACAGTCCCCTCACAGGCACTCCTGCTGGCCAGTATGATCCAGGAAATTCCTCAGTTGAGGTTCCCTCTTCCCAGATGACTCAAGTTGACCATAAAAACTGACAAGCATGTGGGCCAAAGACAGCCCAAGGTAATTTTATCCCGTTCTCCACAATCACAGGTTTTCATCAATCAGCCTTGTAGAATGTTTCACACATGTGTGACATTTTTCTAGTCACTTCAGTTCACATTTCTCTATTTCTATTTAGCCCCCATTATTAAATATTTATCTAGATGGTGACAATCATGCTGTGCATTGTGACTCATTTTCATTTAACCAGTATTGTGAGTCCTTACTATGTGCTAGGCACCATCATAGAGACTGATGATACAAGAGGGAACAAGATGTATCCAAATCCCCAAGCATTCTAGAGGTTAGCTTCTGGATAGCTATCTGTAGACTTGGATGCTATAACGTACCCTTCTTCTGTGGTCTGTAGGACAGCTCTGTGCTCTTTGCACTCTCTGTCATCACCTACGTGGGACTGAGTCTTTCTCTGTTGTGCCTGCTCCTGGCGGTCCTCACCTTCCTCCTGTGCCAACCCATCCAGAACACCAGCACCACACTCCACCTGCATCTCTCCATCTGCCTGTTCCTAGCCTACCTCCTCTTCCTCACAGGCATCAATAGAACTAAGCCTGAGGTAAGTGTCTCAAACTACCTCATTGTCCTAATCCATGCTAGCCATCTTGTCCTAAGAGAACGTGAAGAGAAGACATTGATCAGTAGCGATTCTGTCGGGGGAGGGCAAGGACAATAATTTCAGCTCTTTTTGAAGAGTTGTAAAGGAAATCGTGCTTGTGTCATTTTGGAATTAAAATTCTTCCTAAGTATGAACATAAAATGCCAGTCATGACTGCATGGAGCTTGTCCAGAATGCTCAGGGATGGAGAAAGGCAGGTCCTTGAGACTCCCTGGTCAGTGTATCAGAAACAGTGAGCTCCAGATTCAGTGAGAGACCCTGTCTCAAAGGAATAAAGTAGAGAGCGATTGAGCAGCACACCCAGCATCCTCCTCTGGCTTCCAAATGAACATGCATGCACTCAGTGATACACACAAACACAAGTGTATTTCTCCATCACTCAAGAGAGCAATGTCAACTATTATCCATTTCATAATCATCATCATTATCAGCAGCATCAAGAATCTGGACTAGATGTTTAAGCTTCTTTTCTGTACCGAACAACTAGTTCTAAAGTCAGAATGTTTGGAAGAACAATTTAGATTTTCCTGAGAAATACAATGCTATGCTTAAAATATAAGTGTGTAAAACTTTGGCTATGTTACTCAGCCTAAATTATTCCTCAGTGTTTGTATGGATATATCTAAACATTGTGTTATATGGTCTGTTCATTTGTGTAATAGAAGTAAACTGAAAAAAAAATAAGGAGGTAAAGTTTCTGGTTTGTTTATCACCAAATGCAGCTTTATTTTTTACTAGTTTTGTGATTCTGGCCTAGATTCCAGCCCCTCTTAGAGCATAGTATCTTCCATTGAATACAGAGAGAGGTTGAAGAGCTACAGCTTGTGAGCCAAAATCCGACCCATTGTCTTGTTTTCAGCTTTAGTTAGGAACAACCGTACTTACTTATTTACATGTTATGCAGACAGTCTTGACCATAAAGCCTCAGCTGCTTCTATGTGGTCTTTTACTAAACCAAAAAAAAAATGATCCTGAGCTACTGTCATTACTGTTAAGCAATATTGCTATGCCAACCTGTAATGTTCATAACACACTAATTGCTACTGATAAAAATTTTAAATAATGTTGGGGCTGGTGAGATGGCTAAATGGTTAAGAATACTGGCTGTTCTTGCAGAAGACCTGGGTTCAAATCCCAGCACCCACATGGCAGCTAACAACTGTCTGTAACTTCAGTTCCAGGGGATCCAATGGCCTCTTCTGTCTTCCATGGACATTGTGGGACATGGGTGCACTTACATACATGCAGGCAATACATGTATACACATAAAATAAAAATATTTAAAAACAGTTTAAGTTAAAATAATGTCTTCAAAGGCTATAGATATATCATATTCAATATTGTTAGCTTTGTCATCTGAAAAATGCCTTAGAATGTGATTCTCTGTAATGCTATGTATATATCACTATATAATGTTACCTCATTCACTTGATGGATAGTATTTGATTACCCACTGTGTGACATACATTATACATTTGGTGGATGATCATGAGTTTCCTAGTCTCTGCTAGACTTTGTTTTGAACATACATTGTGTATTGGGTAAGTTAACTCCTCATTCCCACAGAGCAGAAAAGCAATAATAAATGAGTGTGTGGTTAAGTGTCCAATAAGGAAAAGCCCTTCATTTACAGGGAACAGAAAGGCAGCTTTCCTCCCTTGTGTGATGAAATGGTAATCCAGATCAGAAATTTAAGTTTTAAATGACAGAAAATGGGTCTTTTAAAAAAAATGTTTCATTTATTTATTTTTGGTTTTGGTTTTTTTTTTTTTTTTTTGGTTTTTTTGAGACAGGGTCTCCCTGTAGCCCCAGCTGTCCTGGAACTCACTATGTAGACCAGGCTGGGCTTGAATTCACAGAGATCCACCCATCTCTGCCTCTCAAGTACTGGGATTAAAGGCATGTGCCACCACACCTGGCCTCATTTATTTATTTTTAATTATGTATACACATGTGTGTCTGTGTGTGGATGTGTGAACATGAGTGCAAGCATCAAGGAAGCCAGAAGCAGCAGATCCCCCACGAACTGGAGTCAAGTAGTTGTGAGCCACCCTGTGTGGGTGCTGGGTATTAAACTCAGGTCCTCTGGAAGAGCATTTCTCCAGCCTAGTTTCTTTCTTTGTTGTTTATTTGGTTGGTTGGTTGGTTTGGTTTTTGTTTTGTTTTGTTATTTTTATTTTTTGAGACAGTCTTATGTCACCTAGGCTGGTCTTGAAGTTATTAGGTAGCTGTTGATGACCCTTGAACTCCTGACACTCTCTCTCTCTCCACTTTCTGAACACAAGAATGGGTTTGCATCACAACATCCACTCTACGCAGCACTGGGCATCGTGCATGCTAGACAAGTACTCTGCCAACTGAGCAATGTCCTCAGACCCCCAAATACTTTTTGGAGGTAATAAAATAGGAAAGAAAAATAAACACAGGTGAGAAGAAATGGCAACTGAAAGACTGTCAAGAAATGCTAAACGCATGAGCAAGAGCTCACTCGTGAATCCTGTGGGGAGTGGGTCTCAGGTCTCAAGGAAATGACCACACAATCCAAAGCATTTTAGCAAGGCAAAAAGTTTTGCTTCTGCAGAAGGATGCAAAGGCACGCCAAATCAGCCTGATGCAAAGGGGTCCTGAGCCTCACTCTGAGTGCTCAGACCTCAGCCTCATATCCTTACATAAATGGCTAATTTCAGCAGCAGAGTAAACACACAGGATGCAATTTTGAGCACAGAGTGCAACCTTGAGCACATATTTAGGTTTCAAGAAGTGCTGACCCTGGAGGAACTTGAGTTTCCCCTCAGGGGCTTCTGTACAATTTTAATGGCATTTTCTATTATTTAACCCTTTGATAGAAAAGACTGTATTTTGTCTACATTTTGCACAAAACCCATGAACCATGTTAGAGGACATGGGCATGATTTAAGAAAATGTTTGTAAAGTGAAACCGAACAAGTTGGGTCCCCAAATAGATGTGGAAGTGGTATATTTAGGAAAAAAAAAGAAATAGCAGGTGTCTGAGGTTTGTGCTTTGGGAAAAGTGATGGTGATGTCATTAACTGCTGTAAAGAGAATGGAACAGACAGGGCAAAACAGACAAGGTGACCTGCAACAGTCAGAAAGGAGCACAGGCTGTGACATTCTACTGTATAGTGTGGAAACTATGGTTAACAATATGCCTTATGTATTTCAAAATAACTACAAGAGATGATGAATACTGTTCTCAAAAAAAAAGACCATAACATATTAGTACGTGCTTTATTTCACGGACGTATTTTCAAACAATAGCAAATAAAGCTGAAGAAAAGTTCATTTGCTTAGCAGACATTGAAGTTGAGCTATGCAATGGACAGCTGGAGTTAGGAGTTTTAAGCCCAGGGGTGATGCTAGGAGAATAATGGTGGGGTTTTCACCATGAAAGATGTAGTTGGCGACACAGAAGTCCATGTGAGCAAAGGAGAGTGTGGAGGTGTGAATGGATGAGGGCTGGAGCTCCCTGGAAGACAGACATTTCTGGGCATACGAAAACACACCAGATGGTTAAGAGAGAACCAACATTAGGAGCGGCCCTGGTCACCGAAGCAGAATTGCACATTGAACTGACACATTCTTCTGAGAGGTCAAGAAAAGACGCTTCCAGGCCTAATCACGGAGGGGTAATGTTACTCAAAGTCCTGCATAGAAACTGACTCAACATAAGGAGTATAAGACGAAATTTATTTTTAAGGAGCCGGGCGTGGTGATGTACACCTTTAGTTCCAGCACTTGGAAGGCAGAAGCAGGCATATCTCTGTGAGATTGTGGCCAGCCTATTCTACATATTGAGTTCCAGACCATCTGGGGCTACAGTGAGACCCTGTCTCAAAAAGACTAATAATAATAATAATTATTATTATGATGATGATGATGATGATGATGATGGTGAAAATTTTTTGTTTTAAGGAATTAGCTTCTGAGTTTATAAGGGCTTATAAGACACTTTATGGAAAGCAATCTGCTCTGCTCAAATCCACTGATTTTAAGATGTTAAGCTTATCTAATAAAATACTGTCAGAGAAAATTCTAAGGCTGGAGAGCTAGTTCAGTGGTTAAGAGCACTGGCAGCTCTTGCAGAGGACCTGGGTTCAATTCCCAGCACCTACATGGTGGCTAAAACTCATTCATTCATAACTCCACTTCCAGGGAACCTGATGCCCTCTCTGACCTCCAGAGGCATTGCCCAGCATGGGTGCACTGATATACATACAGGCAATATACTCATACACATAATATAAGATAAAAATAATAAAATATTTTTAAAAAGAAGATTCTAGAACAAAGTGTGAACACAAATTTGGGCCCTAGAGGAGAACCTACTGCCACTTTCCTAAATACACACAATTTCTAACTATATTCTAAATACTTATCCTTATACCCACAGGTAAGTGCAGCTCTCACCACTCATCAAAGAAGCTTCTTTTTACAAAAGTTCCACAGCTGGTCAAAATGCAGAGTTAGTGTCTCTTCCTCCTCCTCCTCCTCCTCCTCCTCCTCCTCCTCTTCTCTCTCTACCCAGTTGGTGCTTCCCTATACTGATTCTTGGTTTAGTTGCATGATTTGCTTTGGCTAATGGATATGAACAAACAGGGGCTTGAAAAGTACTTCATAGCTTGGTTCCCTGTTGCCACAATTGACACATCTAAAATGCAACCCCTACGCCTAAGAGTGGGGAGCAAAACAGAAGAGCAGGTGGATAGATGTAAGAGCCAGAGGACCAGGATGCCTGCCGCTAGACAGTGTCTTCTAGACATAGCAGGGAAGCTGCACCCATGAAATCTCAACAATGTGTTGCCTAAACAAGATCTGCAGAGTCACACCACCAGTTGTCAGGCCAGTGAGGATGGGGAGATTTCACAGGGTCACATCTCTAGACAAAGAGCTATAGGCAGCCAATGGCTGCTGAGAGGGAGAACCCGTTTTCTCCATGGGTGAGCACCCTGATAGGTTATCCCGTCCCAAGTGGTCACCTAAACACAGGTACATATAAGCACCTCTAAACAGACTCAGCAACAATAATAATCAAAGACGAGGTCACAGAATTAAGAGACAATGAGAGACATAGGAAGAGTTGGAGGCATGAGAGAGGGGTGGAAAGGCAAGTACAGTTCTCATGTATGAAGTTCTCAAAATATTAAGAGACAAAAAGAAAAAGTAACACTATCACAGAAAATTCTAGAGCTTGTTTGAGCACAGAGTTAGGCACTGTGGCTCAAAGAAGAGACACAGGAAATTAACCATCCTGGATGTGAGAAAAGCAAGTCATTAAATATCAGAAAAATAACTGCCTTTAAGCATGGAAAATGTGAAATTATTATTTTGAGTTATCATTGCTTATTCCTATCCAACAAGATTAGGAACATTTCCACAAGACTAGAAACATTTATGATGCCTTGAGAGATAAGCCAACATAATTCTGCTAGCTATGCAAATCAGATCTGAAACTTTTCTCCTGGAGAGGGTGTAGAAAATTGATAGACCACTTACTTGCCTAGCACATGTAAGACCCAAAGCAAAATAAACCAAAAAACAGCAACAAACCCCCAAAAACAAACTATGAAAGACTATAAGAGCCAGAGGTGGTGGGTGACCACAAGGCAGAGTTTTCCAGACAGCTGGGCAGTTACTCATCTGAACTCACAGCAATGGAGACAGCATGCACAAATTCCACATAAGCTCAAACCAGACAAAGTCCCAGCACTGATGTGAGGAAGGGGCTAAGCAATCCCAACCCTACCTGAGGAGGTACTGATGGCTTCTGGGAGGGGAGAGCCAGTTTCGTTTAAGGGTGATACTCTTGGCGGGTGGACCAGGCTCCAGTAGATGGAGCCCACACCAAACAGCATTTGGAGACACAAATTTAACTCTATAGGCCTTAATATATACATATTAATATATATGTATATGTTAGCAAAAAAACAATAACAAAGAAAGAAAACAACACAAAGTAAAAGTAAAAAATATCTTGCCTCCACTTGTCCAGTAATGATAGTTTCCTTTGCTATCACAACACTTCCCTCCCAGGACCTCCAGCTCTCACCAGCCCTCCTTTGCCTCACAGTTCCTTGTCCTCTTCTTTGATTAGTATTGTTACAGATACATGCGTACATTTATAAACATACAAGTATAATGCACTGACCTCATTTACTGGTTCTCATGTGTCCATGTGTTTAAGGCTACCCGCTTGGGATTTTTTGGTATGAAACTTTCCTGTGGAGACATTAATGAATGTCTGTTCACACCAGGTAGGGAACAAAAATAATGACTCTACCAAAGTCCAGCTTAGCAAAATAATGAGTTTACTGGGGTTTGTTAAAGAAATAGGAGACAGGGTTACGTACAGGACCGTGGACTACTCAGATGCAGGTGCATCGCCCAGAAGTCCACTCCAGTTTAGGGCGCGACTCACAAAGCTTGCCAACCTAGCGCTCTCGGCACAACTTGCTGGCAGCTCAGCAGGTGACAGAGCATCTTCCCACCAACTCTCCTGGTTGGTGCACCTCCTGATGCACCAGTCCATTAGAGTCACCTCTAAGCTGATCATGTCTCCCCTCCCCAGCAGTTGTTGCCATTCATATCACCTTGGGACGAGGCCTTGGGAATGTTGCTTCAGGAACTTTCTGAGATGTGTGAGTTGTTTGCTTCCTGACCCTCCATCCAGCATTGAATGCTTCTTCAATTTAAAGGAAATTGCTGTACAGCAGTCCAGCTTCTTTGCCCTGGCGTGAAGTTTTTAACACTCAGACATGTTGGACGTTTTGCTACTTCTATTTTACAGTCAAATAGTATCCCACTGTTCGGATGTACCATATCTTGTCTGTACATTTGTCAGTTGTTAGACCTTGGGGTTGTTTCTCCCCTTTGAAGATTGTGAATAAGGCTGCTACAAACCTTCCTAATGCATTTTTGTTTCAATGTCAGTTTTTGGATATCTCAGGCAGGAGTTGATGCCACAGTCAAGACTGCGTAAAATACAAGTCTTAATAAATCTCTGCATAAATGGTGCTATTTCATTATCTCTGAATAATACTTGTTCACTGATATTTTAAATTTTTATTGAGCCTTTGTACATTTGATACACTTCTTAATCAAATTTAGACCCCCTCCCCCATCCGTGTCCCCCCACCCCCATCAGACCCCACATATTCCTCCACGCTTGCTCCAGTGGATGAATTTGCACTGGAGGACATCTGGGTACAAATGCTTGCTCACTGATATTTTAAGCCATCCAAATTAAGAAGACTGAGAAACCACCTCTCTGGACGACTCTGCTCTCTCTTCATTCCTCTTCTCCACACTTTCCATTGTTGTCTGCAAGTTCTGTACTGTTTTCTTCAATATCCTCTAATCTACTTTTTAGCACAAGCATTGTCCTTTTCACACCTTAGTTATATATGCTTCACGTCCCTAGAACTTTGGGTTGTATTCTTGCACATTTGCTCGCCATGAGTTCCTTACCACCGTTATCAGAGAAGCTGAGGAAATGTAACAGGCTAAGCTGACATGCTAGCAAAGTGCTTGTCATGTTTCTAGAACAAAAGCAAAAGCATATTTTAAAGTTTAATTTCTTATTACATATTTGTAGGACTGTTTTAGTTATGGCCTGTAACCCTGGGTTTCTATTTATAGGAAGTGGCACCAGCTTGCCCTAGGAGAATATGGTACTGATGTGTCACTGGTAATAGCAGGTGATGCTCTATGTGGGCTCGTTACCATGTGCTAAACACAGATCCTGCAGCAAGCGTCTCGTGACTGTATTTAGGTTTGATCTGGTTGGCGTTGATCTGAAGAGTAGCACAGAGACAGAAACGCTGACACACCCTCCCTCCTAGGTGCTGTGCTCCATCATCGCGGGTTTGCTGCACTACCTCTACTTGGCTGCCTTCATGTGGATGTTTCTAGAAGGGCTACACCTCTTTCTCACTGTCAGGAACCTCAAAGTGGCCAACTACACCAGCATAGGCAGATTTAAGAAGAGATTCATGTATCCAACAGGCTATGGGATCCCAGCATTCATTGTGGCTGTTTCTGCAATAGTCGGACACAAGCATTATGGAACATCTACCCAGTAAGCACGATGTTGTGTATGAGATGGGAATGTATGTCTGTAGGCTTGAAATCTATTATGTTTTCAACTTATTTTATAATTATGAATTATTCTTCAAAACAATCCTGAATATTAGAAATTTTCAGAGTTATGGTTTTCAGAATCTTTTTACCTAGTTGAAGTAACGCTGAACGTTTATTGTAAGCATGGTTTCTTTACATGAAAATTATACATTTGTGTCATTTGTTTCTCTTAATTATATTCTTCTTGGACACAGTGAACATTTATTTTCTTATTCTTTTTGAAATGGGAGTCGTGTAGCCCAGGCTTGCCTCAAATTCACTTTTTAGCCAAAGATAACCTTGACCTTCTGATCCTCCTGCCTCACTCCCTGAGTACCTGGATGAAGGGCAGGTACTACCACACCCAATATTTGCAGCACTGGGGATGGAAGCCAGGGACGTTTACATGCTAGACAAGCCCTGTACCCTCTGAGGCCCATCTCTTGCCCACATTCGCTGATTCTTAAAACTTTGGTTTACTGGGGCATCCTCAGTATTTTAGTGTTTTATATAATTGAGCATTTTGGTGAGACCAGAACTGTTTTTAACCAGAAAATTGTTTAGGCATATAAAACTTTGAATATAACTTCAGAAAGTTCAGTTAGCAAACCCATATACCCACATTAAGATCCTGTAAACTCTCTTCTGTGAGTCTCAAAAAGCAGGTAGAATGTGCCCAAATTAATCTCCAAAATGACAGCAAAAATGAAAAGAAAAAGAGCAACTGCTGAAGTCAGCAGTAGCTCCTGAGTCTCCCGACGCAGCCCCAGGAGGCCGGAAGTTTATCTCGCTCATAGAACATGTGAGGCTCACTGTTTTTCATGCATTTTCCTAAGGTCAGAGTTCAGAAGAGCTATTCTGAATAGCTATGTCTCACTGTCTTGTTAAGGAATTCTTATAAAACTCTCCACAATAGAGTTTGTTGAAGATATAAACATTTTTGATAGTGCTGCTTGAGGTAGGAAGTCTGTTGCACCTGTGATAAAACATCGCGTATGATGTCCCTCTTGAAATATCTCTAGCTTGAGCCTTGTGTCTTTCCAAATGATTCTGGAGATTCAGTGGCAAACTTTCTATAAGGGCCAAATGCTAAGTATTTTACATTTGTAGACCAAATAGTGTTTGTGCAAACAGTCCATGTTGCCCTGGGCAGTGTAAAAGCAGCTACCAACAAAATGAAGTTTCAATCAAGCAATATTTACAAAACACAAGTGGAAGGCTGGGCTTGGTACATAGTAATAGTTTTCAACACTTTGAAGATAGTTTAAGTGTGAATGCTTTTCTGTATCTTAAATATTGGATGTGGCATATTATATTTATGAAATTCATATTCTCCCAACAGGACCCCACTTGGAATAAATTATACTGCCTATCCTGATATCTGCCATGACAAAATACAAAAGTATTTAAATGCCAGATTATTTTGTAATGAAATATGTTTAATTTGGTTGGTTGACTTGTGGCTATAGTTAATCTACTGATTTTATTTCTCTCATCATAGCTATCAATATCATATAATGATTACATTTCGTAAACTTAACATTTTTCCAGAAACTGTCCCCAAATTTTACACATGCAATCTCTTTTAATCTTTATTACAATTTCTGTGTGAGGTAAAACACATGACTAATCAAAGAAATCAAAGAATTTATAACAAATAGAGGAGCATATTACAATAACGGGTAGGAAGAGCTAATATTCCTAAAATACCACTTCTACGTAATTTTTTCTATAGATTGGACACATTCTAAATCCAACCTAGGAAATTGTTTTGTGGATACTGATTTAATGAATCAAAGGTCTATATGGAAGACATATTAAGATCTAGCGTATCCAAAATATTGAAGAGGAAAGCTTGAAGGAATGGCATGATGTGAATTTAAGACTCCATAGCTACACCATTTTACCTTCCCTAAACTTGGGTTAGTTCCTACCACAGTCTTGGAAAGCCCGACGCTCAGAGCACACAGCTCATGGCAGGAGAACTCTATCTGAAGTCCAGTTCTTTAACAATGGCTCCTGATACTGTTCAGCTCTTTCTCTAGACTTTATTCAGACCATCCTCTTTCTCTAGCAAAAGAGAGCTGATTGTTATCTTCTCATCTGCAGCTGCTGGCTCAGTCTTGATAAAGGATTCATCTGGAGTTTCTTGGGGCCAGTGGCAGTCGTTATCTTGGTAGGTGGCAGTTATTTATGGGTGTACCAGGACTGAGTGTGCCAGCATAGAATGTGATTACCTGTTAAGGTGGAAATGGGGTGAAGATAAGGAAGACAGCGCAACTTCAGCAGCTCCTCTTCCTGAAAATACTGTTTCCACTCATCTGTCCCTGGTTGGCCCGCAGCCCATTATTTATTTGGGATAATAATATAACTGTTCAAGATTGATTTCTGTTTTATGACTAAAATTCCCTGGCAAAGCTGGGCATGGTGGCACATACCTTTAATCCCACCACTCAGGAGGCAGAGGCAGGCAGATTGCTGTGAGATTGAGGCCAGCCTGGTCGACATAGCATGTTCCAGGCCAGCTGGGGCTACATGAAGACCTTGTTTCTAAGAGCAAAACAAAATACCCCAACGAAAATCAACTTGGGGTAGAACGAGTTTATTTTAGCTTTCAATTCCAGTTTACTATTGCAAGGAGGTCAAGACAGCAGGAACTTGAAACAGTCACATCACATTCATAGGAGCAGAGAGTAAAAGGGCTGGAGAGATGGCTCAGCGGTTAAGAGCACTGGCTGCTCTTGGAGACAACCCAGGTTCAAATCCCAGCACCCACAGAGCAGCTAACAGCCATCTGTAACTCCAGTTCCAGGGGATCTGACACCCTCTTCTGTCCTTCATGGGCATTGTATGACACAGGTGCACTTACATACATTCAGGCAATATACTCATACACATAAAATAAAAATAAATAAATCAAAAAATTTTTAAGTAGCAGAGAGAAATAAATGCGTACATGTAGCTTACTTGCCTAGGGAATTCTGTCTCTCGAAGTGGGCTGGGTTTCCAACACTGATTATCTTAATTAAAACAATCCTCCACATACATTCCTACAGCCTACTCCCATGTGGACAATCCCTCATAGAGACTCTTCCCAGGTGGTTGTAGGTGATATCAAGTTGATAACTGAAGCTCTCACAATGACCCTGTATTGTGGGTTGTTTTTAAATCCTGGTTTCCTTCATTCCTTATCTACTTTGCATAAAGGAGTATGTTTTCCTAATTTCCAGGTACTTCCTAAGTAATGCATGTTACCCAGTAAAAGAATAAATAGTAGCCTTGTATCTCAAAGTGTCCTGTTTTGAATTAAAATTACTTATTAACCTAATCAAGAAATAAATAAAATCCAGTGTCTACTGAGTGCTATAGACAACAGGCCAGAACACGTCCATGGCATCTTTGCAATCTTGTATCTTTTTGAGAGTCTCAAATCAAACTCAGATTGTGTTGCATGAAAGGATCAGAAAAGAAAATTACAATCATTCTCTTCTGTCATTTCCACAGGTAAATGTGGTGTTCTACTTCCAAATTATGTGGATTTTAAGAAGCAAACTTTCTTCCCTCAATAAAGAAGTTTCTACCATTCAAGACACCAAGTAAGAATGTACCAGAATCCATCGTTCCCATGGTATCCTCTTATAGTTTAACTTTTCCTGGGGAAGAAAGCCCTTATTGAAAAATATGCTGAGGGGTTTGGTGTGGTTCCCTGGTAGAACACTTGCTTAGCATGTGTGCAGACTGGGTCCATCACCCAGTCCAAAAAACAAAGAAACAGACACACTTACAGGTGCAAAACCCAAAACTCCATGTGTTCTCCTGGTACCAAATAAAAAAATGTAAAAGAAGCAAGAAAATTCTGAATCTCAGGTAAATTAACGCACTTCTCCAATTATTTGTTCAAGACATGTTTATTAAATTTTTTCTTGAGGTAATATACTCTTTATTGGGTCCTTCAAAGACAGTATCTATGTAGCCCTAGCTGGCCTGGAACTCACTATATAGATCACTATATAGCTGGCCTTGAACTCACAGAGATCCACCAGCCTCTGCCTCCCACGTGCTGGGATTAAAGGCATGCGCCAACACGCTGAGCTCAAATATACTCTTTATATGAAATCAATATGAAGAATAGTTTCTTCCTTTCTTTTCCTGCCTCTGTGATGGAATTCCTGATAAATGCAAGTTAAGGGAGACCGGATTTTTTTCAGCTCCCAGTTCTTGAGCTGTATACAGTCCATGATGGAGGAAGTCGAGGGAGCTGGAGCTTGAAGTGCCTCATCACATCACAGCCTCCACTGAAAAGCAGATCATGATGATTGAGCACATGTGGTCAGCTCACTCCCCCAATTTTACAATCCAGCACCCAGCCCAGGGATTGGGGCCCCCACATTGGAGATCTTCCTTCCTCAATTAGTGTAATTAACACAATAATTCACAGACATTCTCAGAGTCAAACCTTACTCTAGATAGTCTCTTATAGGTATGCCTAGAGGCATGCTTTTTAGGTGATTCTTGATCATGTCAAGTAGACAGTTAGTGCTAGGTAGGAATGACTTTTCTGGATAGTCCATCTATATCTAACCTTGTATCCAAAGTTAATCTTATGTTTTGAGATCATTTAACACTCTCCATATTCAATCTGCCTTCCTATCGGGTATTTAAATCCAGCTAGCCTTTAGGAAAACAGTGTAAACCATCTTAGAATGCCTTGGGCTCCTTTGTAATCAACCTTTTTATAAGCTAAGCTAAACACTGAGCTTTAATCTTAAACTATGTCCCCTATTTCTCCCTCATGACCCTTCCATGCCCCTGACCCAGAATAGTGTCTTTGGAGATGAAAATCTTAATCCCAACGATGGAAACAACAGATTATCCACAGTATGTGTTGCAAACATGTGGGCTTAGGTTGATGGCATATGACTGTGGTTTTGTATGTCGTTCTGGGTCAGTAAGGGTCATAAAAGGAAAATTCTTCCTGATAAAACAAAGTTCCCCATTCCTCTCCCATGTCATGCTGGATATACTGTCTGAATAGAGTATGCATTTAGTTGGAGGAAAGCTCTGAGAGAACTTAGAAAGGAACAGTTTTGAGAAGAGATCAGGCTCACTCTTGGTTTAAACAACTCTAGGAAATAGTTTTGGCTCAGGCACTAAAACATTATGGCATTTTCCGCAATGCTAACCATCATAGCTCCAACCCTTATTAATTTGGCACACAAACACATCAATTTTAATCCATAACCCTGTATCCACTTGTCTCCATGGGACTATGACCATTTTATGATGTAAAATGCATTCTGCCCAACATCAAAAGTCCCCGTAGTCTTCAGCAGTGCTAGTGCTTTAAAGATCAAGTTTTCATACCTGTGAGTGCCTATAAAATAAAAAAGCAAGCCAAATATAAGAACATAACCCATGAATAACATTTGGTTTCCATCAATGCTGACTTAAATCAATGAAGGCCTGAGGGGTAGTAGTTAATGTCATTGCTTACTTTTTCCCAGAGTCATGACATTTAAAGCCATTGTTCAGCTATTCGTGCTGGGATGCTCTTGGGGCATTGGGTTCTTCATGCTTCATGAAGTAGGAAAGACGATGAGATCTGCCATTGCCTACTTATTCACCATCATCAACATCTTGCAAGGGATTTTCATCTTTGTGGTACACTGTCTGCTTAATCGCCAGGTAAGTCTGTTTCAGTCCTCACTAACCTAGCCCCAAAGTCTCTGAATGGCTCTTCACACACTTGGAGTTTTGTATTTCTACTTTGAATTTTTCATTACAAAGAAAGCCAAGATTTTTTGTTGTTGTTGTTCTTTTGAGAAAGGGTCTCCCTGTAGCCCCAACTCGTCTGGAACTCACTATGTAGATCAGGCTATCTTCAAACACAGAGATCTGCCTGCCTCTGCCTCCCAAGTGCTGGGATAAAAGGCTTGTGCCGCTACGCCTGGCCTAGAAAGCCAGGATTTTGTCTGGTCAGTCATGCAGGCTGAATCTCATCCAGGCAGCATCCTAACATATCACATCAGAGCATATATCAGCCAGAACAAGGTAGATCATCCTGCATTAATCAATAGGTCTTTCTTATGATTTCCCAATCTCTGGTTCACAAAGCTCAAGGGTTCTTTCTTGTCCCTGCTACATAACTATCACTTAATAGCCTTCATCTTTATGAAGTGAAGAAGCCTTTCCTTGACGCTGATTCAAGCTGACAGTATGACACTAGCCGAGATATTGGCAGATAGAACAATTGGAAATAAGATCATAATAAGTCACACCTTAATTCTTAATGCTTTCTCATAACAGTTACAACATCATCAGTTCTACTATTGATTATTTATCTAAAGCAAATCACACGGCCCTGTTTGAGTTCACCAGGAATGAATAACTCTCCTGTAGTGACATGTATAGTACAGAGGTACACTGGGATAGATGTTCGACACAATCTACCACAACCTCAGTTCTTCCACTGGGTGGCTTGCCTTGTAGCCTGGATACCTGGTCTCTCTTATCACCTGCCAATGTTATAATGCCTTACTAAGGGTTTGGGATTTGATAACACAGTACAGTAGAAATCTCATAACCCAGGAGCACATATTAATTTCCTAGTGAATTATAATTTAATCTTCATTTAAAATTATTTCATGACTTTTGAGGTTTTTTTGGTTTCCTGTTAGATGGAAATATCAACTGTTAAGATGCTGTTGATACACATACAGACTATCATCCTAGTGACAAAGGGACCGTCATTTTAATGCTTCATTAACTTCTGTTCCACACTCCTGTGCTTTCTCTGTGTTTGGTAGTCCTCCGTCACAGAATTACAATGCAACTGGGTTGTCTTTGTGAAACTAGTTGAGCAGTATAACTTCAAATCTTATTTTTAATATGACAGGGGGCGGTAAAGAAATGCAACTCACATAGTGGAAAACTTAAGGTGGCGCTTTATAGTGTCAGTTTTAGGAGCTTTATTTAGTGCATTTACGCAACTTGTAATTGCAAAATCCACTTTGCCTGTGTTAAGTGAAAAATACGGACTGTTAGCTTGTTGGCCCTATGAAATTCTGCACTTAACATTTAGTTATGTGCTCGACCTTCATTACTTTTGGGAAGACACCCTGCCTTAGCACACAGTTGCTTACTTTTTCTTTCCTGTTCATTATGTTTTAATTTTGAGGACCATATGAGGGTAGAATATATTACATTTTAAAAACTGCAAAAATTTATATAGCAAACATTTTCTTAAGTTGATGGCCAAATGTTAAAATGTTATTTTTCATATCATTTATAATCTTGTCACAATCCACTTAACAAAGTTTGATTAGATTTCAGTGAAAGTTTTCTTTCTTTTCTTCCTGAGATGGGAGTTAAATAACTTTACTACAATTAGTATGTATGGTGAAGAATTTCATGCAAATGAAGTGTGCCAGCAGTGTGGTAATTTAAACATATTTAAACAAAAAGACGAATGCACAAACTTTCTGCTGCTTAGACCACTGCAGCTTCTAAGACCCAGTTTCTTTTACTGATTTAAAAACAAAAAAAAATTAAAATAAAAAATGTGCCTGAAATGAATTCTGTTTTTTTTTTTTTTTTCATAAGTAACCCCCCTGGTTCCTGTGTCCTGTTGAATACAGGCACTTGATCTGTGGTGTAGCTTCTGTTCAGCTTTGTATCACAGGAATGGGTTGGCCTGATTTCTTTGCCCTCATCTGAACTGGCCATTTTACAGGGTCCCCAGCAAGTGGACTGAGGGCTTTGTCTTAGGATGACAAGGGTCAGCTCGGGTTGGGGGGGCTTTCATCTTCTCCATTCTCATTTGAGGTTTTGTTCTCTGGGTAAAGAGACAGTCCATCTTTGTAAACACAAAACATTTTTGCTTTCTCTGGTTTTATGTTAATGGAAAAAGAATGGAAGCAAATATAGTTATACTGATTTTTGAGACACTAAAAAAAAAGAAATGCAACTCATGGAATTGTGAGATGAACTTTAGTGTACTGGTTAGTGTAAGAGCTCTGGACTAAAAGTAACAGCATTTGGAAGGCTACTTTCATGAGATTTGGCTTATTGGTCTTGCATTGGAGGTAGAAAGAACACTTCTTTCATTGAGTTGATATGAAAGTTAAATGTTATGCTGTATGTTAAGTGATTTGCATTTACCTGTTGTTCAGCAAATAGCAGCCACTGTCCTCATACCCCCACCATCTTCTGCTCATCATCTTCATTACCACTATTAATATCATCACCATCGTTATCATCACCACCAATAGCAGCAATAACATCATCGTCATCACCATCAAAGCCACCATCATATCCATGACCACCACCACCATAATTAATATAATTGCCATCATATTCATGGCCATCATCATTCTCATCACATCATCACCACCATCATGATCATCCCCTATCATATCCTTCACTGTCAACACCAACATAATTATCATAATCACAATCATTTTATTCATTACTATCATCATTCTCACCACCACCATTACCATCATCACCATTGCCATCACCACCATCACCATCACCACCATCACATCGTCACCATCATCATCATCATCACACTCAACACTATCACCATCACCATTATCACAATCACCACTGTCACCATCATCACCATCACAATCACCACTGTCACCATCATCACCATCACAATCACCTCTGTCACCATCATCACCATCACAATCACCTCTGTCACCATCATCACCATCACAATCACCTCTGTCACCATCATCACCATCACAATCACCTCTGTCACCATCATCACCATCACAATCACCTCTGTCACCATCATCACCATCACAATCACCTCTGTCACCATCATCCCCATCACAATCACCTCTGTCACCATCATCCCCATCACAATCACCTCTGTCACCATCATCCCCATCACAATCACCTCTGTCACCATCATCCCCATCACAATCACCTCTGTCACCATCATCCCCATCACAATCACCTCTGTCACCATCATCCCCATCACAATCACCTCTGTCACCATCATCCCCATCACAATCACCTCTGTCACCATCATCCCCATCACAATCACCTCTGTCACCATCATCCCCATCACAATCACCTCTGTCACCATCATCCCCATCACAATCACCTCTGTCACCATCATCCCCATCACAATCACCTCTGTCACCATCATCCCCATCACAATCACCTCTGTCACCATCATCCCCATCACAATCACCTCTGTCACCATCATCCCCATCACAATCACCTCTGTCACCATCATCCCCATCACAATCACCTCTGTCACCATCATCCCCATCACAATCACCTCTGTCACCATCATCCCCATCACAATCACCTCTGTCACCATCATCCCCATCACAATCACCTCTGTCACCATCATCCCCATCACAATCACCTCTGTCACCATCATCCCCATCACAATCACCTCTGTCACCATCATCCCCATCACAATCACCTCTGTCACCATCATCCCCATCACAATCACCTCTGTCACCATCATCCCCATCACAATCACCTCTGTCACCATCATCCCCATCACAATCACCTCTGTCACCATCATCCCCATCACAATCACCTCTGTCACCATCATCCCCATCACAATCACCTCTGTCACCATCATCCCCATCACAATCACCTCTGTCACCATCATCCCCATCACAATCACCTCTGTCACCATCATCCCCATCACAATCACCTCTGTCACCATCATCCCCATCACAATCACCTCTGTCACCATCATCCCCATCACAATCACCTCTGTCACCATCATCCCCATCACAATCACCTCTGTCACCATCATCCCCATCACAATCACCTCTGTCACCATCATCCCCATCACAATCACCTCTGTCACCATCATCCCCATCACAATCACCTCTGTCACCATCATCCCCATCACAATCACCTCTGTCACCATCATCCCCATCACAATCACCTCTGTCACCATCATCCCCATCACAATCACCTCTGTCACCATCATCCCCATCACAATCACCTCTGTCACCATCATCCCCATCACAATCACCTCTGTCACCATCATCCCCATCACAATCACCTCTGTCACCATCATCCCCATCACAATCACCTCTGTCACCATCATCCCCATCACAATCACCTCTGTCACCATCATCCCCATCACAATCACCTCTGTCACCATCATCCCCATCACAATCACCTCTGTCACCATCATCCCCATCACAATCACCTCTGTCACCATCATCCCCATCACAATCACCTCTGTCACCATCATCCCCATCACAATCACCTCTGTCACCATCATCCCCATCACAATCACCTCTGTCACCATCATCCCCATCACAATCACCTCTGTCACCATCATCCCCATCACAATCACCTCTGTCACCATCATCCCCATCACAATCACCTCTGTCACCATCATCCCCATCACAATCACCTCTGTCACCATCATCCCCATCACAATCACCTCTGTCACCATCATCCCCATCACAATCACCTCTGTCACCATCATCCCCATCACAATCACCTCTGTCACCATCATCCCCATCACAATCACCTCTGTCACCATCATCCCCATCACAATCACCTCTGTCACCATCATCCCCATCACAATCACCTCTGTCACCATCATCCCCATCACAATCACCTCTGTCACCATCATCCCCATCACAATCACCTCTGTCACCATCATCCCCATCACAATCACCTCTGTCACCATCATCCCCATCACAATCACCTCTGTCACCATCATCACCATCACAATCACCTCTGTCACCATCATCACCATCACAATCACCACTGTCACCATCATCCCCATCACAATCACCACTGTCACCATCATCACCATCACAATCACCTCTGTCACCATCATCACCATCACAATCACCTCTGTCACCATCATCACCATCACAATCACCTCTGTCACCATCATCACCATCACAATCACCTCTGTCACCATCATCACCATCACAATCACCTCTGTCACCATCATCAGCATCACAATCACCTCTGTCACCATCATCAGCATCACAGTCACCACTATCACCATCATCAGCATCACAATCACCTCTGTCACCATCATCACCATCATCACCCCACTGCCATTGCACCCATCACTTTCTTCACTGTCAATGCCAATATAATTATTATAATCACCATTCTGCTAATTGCTGCCAGCGTTCTCATCACTTCATCACTACCATCACCACCCTGTTCAGTGCATCATCATAGCCATCATTATCTTCATTACTGATATCAATGCAACTATGTAATTATGATCAGTCTTGCCATCATCACCATCATCATCACAGCCATCACCTTCACTATCACTGCATTCATCATTAGCACCACCATAATAATTATAATACTCAATACCATCTTCATTATCATCATTGACCTCACCATCATCATCTACATCTTTACCACCAGGGCTATTCTCATCATAGTCCCCTTCACCATCACCACCACCATCATGATGAAGTCCTTATGACATTTAGCATAAAGACCTTTCATAATGGAGGAAACTGAATTTAAATGAAATCAATAAAGTCAAACATGGCCAAGTACATACAGAAAAGTAACTGGAGTGGTGGAGTAGGAGCTGACATCTGTGGCTTTAGTCTCTCATGTTAGGGTCCTTTCTCTTGAACCAAATTCAGGATATAATCCCTGCTTCTTAACTTTCAAACTTCCAGGTGCAAATGGAATACAAGAAGTGGTTTAATAGGATGCGGAAAGAGATTGAAACTGAAAGTACTGAGATGTCTCGGTCTACTATACACACCAAAATGGTAAGATCAGGTCCCCAAGAGAGCCTTATCGGAAACCAAAGCCAGTGTCTCCTGCAAACAGGAGCTTCCTCCTGGTTCCTTGGAGTGAAAAAAGAAAAAGATAAGTTGCTTAGGTGCCTAAGGTACGCCACCAGTGTTTCTGGCTTTTTCACCTAAACCAGATCTCTTAGTGTCCTCTTTCCTCGCTCCCTCCCTCCCTCCCTTCTTTTCTCCCTCCCTTCTTCCTCCCTCCCTCCTTCCTTCCCTTCCTTCCTTCCTTCCTCCCTCTCTCCCTCCCTCCCTCCCTCCTTCCTTCCCTCCCTTCGTCCTCCCTCCCTCTCTCCCTCCCTCTCTCTCCCTCCCTCCCTTCTCTCTTATTCATTGCCCACCATTTTTCCTTTACTATTTTATTATTGTTAAACATTTCAGTTGCAGAAATCTCTTTTTAAGACAGGGTCTCCTTGTAACCCCACCTGGCTTGGAACTCATTATGTAGAGCAGTCTGGCCTCCATTTTAAAGAGATCTGTCTGCCTCTCCCTCTTTAATGCTGGGATTAAAGGTGTGCATCACCACACCAGACCAAAAATATTTTTCTCTTAAAAATTTGTTTCTCTGCTTATGTGTGTATATGTCATATGTGAGCTGGTACCTGAGGATGCCAGGAGAAAGTGCTGGGGCCCATGCAATTGGAATTAAAGATGAATGAGGCAGGGAGAGAGTGACTCCCCCTCTCCTTCCCTCTCTTTGTCTGGCTCTCTGGTGGCAGGGGGAGGGGAAGATTTGAAAGCACTCCACTGCTGCTGGATGGCATGTACCTTCCTCGCATCCACATGGGATCTTTTAAATTGTAATTATAAGTTTAGCAAGATTTTTTTTTTAACTCTCCCTCCCTCCCTCTCTCCGTCCCTCCCTCCCATCTCCCTCCCTCCCTCCTTCCCTCCCTCCCTTTCTCCCTCCCTCTCTCCCTCCCTCTCTCCCTCCCTTCCTGTCTGCCTCCTTCCTTCCTCACTATGTCACTCCCACTGTCTCCCATCTCTCTTCTCTCACATCTCCCTCTTTTTCTCCCTTTCTCATTCTTTCTTTTCCATGTGTTATACTAGTGTAACTTTACTTCAGAAGTCTCCAGTCTGTTCGTCATGAGCCATGACCAATGTATAAGGTGTGGTAGACCACTAGAATGCCTCAAAATATAAAAGAATCAGTCAAATCCCTGAGTTTTGTAGTGGAATGCTGGAGAGTACTGAGAAATTTGCCACATATGTCTTGGCACTCTTGTTTCCTTTGGGAAAAAAAAAACATAAGTAGTTGTTCTTGTAGGCTAAGTCCACCATCTGCTGAGACCCTCCATGACCCATCAAAGCACAGGCTTCCCAGCACCCACGTCCCTTCCCAGGCTGTTGCTTTCTTGACATGACCATCTCTTACTTGGTCTCTGTAGCTTCACTAGTTTGTCTATAGAATCTGCATCTGGATTGATCTGAGTATTTTGATCCTCAGAGAAGCTTGGTCCATAAAAGTAGTACCCTTCTTAAGATGGTTCTTAGTTAAAGATATATGGAGCTTTGCTGAGCCATGTAAGAGCATTCTCTATTTTTCTAGTTTTCTGTATAGGAGGAGTCCTTCTCAGACCCATCCCTGTACTATATTTAAAGCCGCTAGGAACTGTGGATCTGGGACTGGAAGATAGCTTAGTTTGTATTGTTTTGCAGGCATGAGGACCTGATTTGGATATCCGGCACCCACGCATGCAAAACACCACTCGTGGTGGTGCACACTTGTAATCCCAGCACTAGGGGAGCAGAGAGAGGAAGATCCCTGGGGCTCCTCGGACAGATGGGATAGCAGAATAGGCAAGCTCCAGACTCCATACTGTTACAAAACCTGATTTTATAACTAAAATGGATGACATTTCAGGAATGACACTGGAGGTTGTCCTCTGGCCTACCCATACATGTGTATCCACCCACACCTGTGTACATACATGCACCTGAGCACACACAAGCAAAAATGGGGGGAGGAGGATGCTGTAGCTTGTGCTCTGTGGTTGTTCATCAGTTTTCACTGCCCTCTCTAGTTCACCTTCTTGAACGGTCTGGTTTCCTGCACCATTGAGCTCAGTTTCATATAATGTGCCACAATAAACCTCCATGAGAAGTGCACATGTATGAACACTTGAAGACCACATTAGTCCTTTTGTATATCCACAGAACTGTGATTAGAATAAGCAGTTTGGTTGGAAGCCAGAAACTCCTGAGTGCTGAGTTTTGTCGCTGAGCTTGTCTTCCGTGGTAGCCTGTGGGGATGCGTATGCTCACGGATCTTCTACAGTGATAAAAGTGTAATTTGGGGGAGAGTTCTGGGGAGATGGCTTAGTGAATAAAAGTGCTTGCCAGTGAAGACGTTGGTTCATATTCGCAGAACTCACAGAAACCTAGGTATGTTAGCACGTGTCTGGAGTTCCAGCGCTCCTGCAGCAAGATGGGAGGTGGAGACGGGAGATTCCCCAGAAGCTCAGGGGCCAGCTAGCCTTGTCTACACAGCAGCAAACCAGAGGACGCCTGTATCAATAAGGCAGAAGGCTAGGATGGACACATGAGGTTGTCCTCTGACCTCCATATGCAAGTCCGGGCCTGCATTCCACTGCACTCACTCTTGTAAACATGCACAAACATATCACATGGAAAGACAGTATAATTTGGTAGGTAAGGCTCCGTATGACACTGATGACCCCGTTCCTCAGGAAGCACCAACTCTTTTCCATCATCTACTTTCCCCACATAGGAAACTGACGACAAACCCAAGTAAAGATGCCACGAAAGCCTAGTGGTGAACACGAGTTTATCAGAGTGACTTACCAGAGTGTGAGTGGAGGGTTACATACAGGAGAAATGACTCAAAGACACCTGTGCCACCAAAGCCCAGCCTAGCACAGGTGATGACTCATGAGCACTGGAAACCTGGAGCACAGCACACAACTTGCAGGCAACTTGACAGGTCTCCCTGGGCAGCTCAGTTACTCTGAGCCTCTTTTGAGCAGCTCACCTGGTCTCTGGCACTTCCAGGGAGCTCAGCTGGTCTGAGCCCCTTCTAGGATGCCAGCTTTTATGACCATCTTCTAAGAAACTCAGATTCTCGGAGAGTCTTCAGGCACTTGGCTTGTCCGGGAGTGTCTCTTAGCCGTCCTTACTGCTTATATGATGTGGGGAGGGAGGGGACTAGTGGATCTGGCCAGTTTCAGGCACTTCTTGAAACTTTTGAGTTCTTTACTTCCTGAGTTTAATGCGCTTTCCTTCAGGATAGAATGCTTCACTTAGAACATCCTGTGTCTTTTTAAAAATATTTTTGGAAGCTGGAGAGGTGGCTCAGTGGTTAAGAGCACTGGCAGAGAATAAGAACAATAAAATGTTTTTAAAATATCTTACTTTTTATTCTTTTTTTTTTTTTTTTTTTTTTTTTTTTTTGTCTTTTTGAGACAGTGTCTCCCTGTAGCCCCAGCTGTCCTGGAACTCACTATGTAGACCAGGCTGGCCTTGAACTCACAGAGATCTGTCTGCCTCTGCCCCCCAAGTGCTGGGACTACAGGCGTGCACCACCATGACCAGCTATTCTATTTATTTTTTAAAAAGTATTCTGTTTATTTTTTTTTAATGTTTTGTTTATTTTTTTATTCTATGTGTATGAGTGTTTTTCCTACATGCAAGCAAGTGCACCCATGTTGTGCAATGCCCATGGAGGTCAGAAGAGGGCATCAAATTCACTTAGAACTAGAGTTACGGACTGTTGTTAGCTGTCATGTGGGTGCTGGGAATCGAACCCAGGTCCTCTGCAAGAGCAGCCAGTGCTCTTAACAGCTGAGCCATCTCTTCAGCCCCTAGAACATCCTTCCATGCAAGAAGAATACTTCACCTCCCTTTAGAACATCCTGTGCTTTAAGGAACTGTCCTCTAAGATGGAATGTTTTGCCTTGGAGGAAACTGCTACACAACAGTCCTCCAAGCAAGGGAGCTGCTGCATCTCTTAAGTCAAGATTCCTTCTTCCCTCACACTTGATCTGTCACCTGAAGGAGGGTGGAGAGCTGTAAAATAAGAGATATGTGAACCATGCAGGTTGGGTATGTATTCATCTCGGTAGACAAGACCGCACTCCAAACCCTGTGGGATATGCTGAATGCATACGTTGTAGAACATCGCCAGTGTGGAGGAGTTTCAGACAGAGATTACAGCATGTGAAAGTTATAAAGAAACATGGCACAATAAAAGGGATTTGAACTAAGGATGTGGCTGCAGTTAGAGTCCTGCCTGAGCCCAGTACTCCAGGGAGGCTCTGGAGTACGGAGTTCATCAAGTAGCCACCATTTTGTGACAAGCGGTTGGTGTTTTGGACCTCTTGTCATTCAGGCAGCGACTCGGTTTCCTCTTGAGTTTGTCTTAACCTCCCCTCCCCTCGCCTCCTTTTCCTCTCCCTTCCTCCCTGTCCTTTCCTCGTTCTTTGTCTTCCCTTCCCATTAATTCTCATCACCTTCCTTCCCTTCTTCCCACCCTTCCTGTTCCCTTCCCTCTGCTAACATCCACATCTTCCTTCCCTTCCCTTCTCTCCTCTCTGTCTCTGTCCTTTCCCCTCCCTTACCCTTTTGCTGGTGAATTTTCATTGCCAACTTAACCAGATATAAATCTGGGCATGTCTCCGTGTCAGTGTTTCCAAAGAGATTTAATTGGGGAAAGAAGACATAATGAACATTCGTAGTCCCTCCCCATGGGCTGGAGTCTTGGACTGATTCAAAATAGAAAAAGAAGGGAGGATTGACTCAGTGGTTAGGAGCACTGGCTGCTCTTGCAAAGGACCTGGGTTTAGCTCCCGGCACCTACATGGCAGTTCACAACTGTCTCTAACTCCAGTTCCAGGGGATCCATGGACATTGCACATACATGGTACACCTACATACATAGAGGCAAGATACTCATTGATACAAAATTAAAATTAAAAATTAGCAACAAGAGGGGCTGGAGAGATGGCTCAGCAGTTAAGAGCACTGACTGTTCTTGCAGAGGACCCCGGTTCAATTCCCAGCACCCACATGGCGGCTATAAACCATCCTTAACTCCAGTTCCAGGGGAATCCAAAGCCCTCTTCTGATCTCTGTGGCATTGCATGACACGGGTGCACTCGCATACATGCAGGCAATACACTCATACACATAAAATAAAAACAATAAATAAATTTTTTTAATTAGGAACAGGAAAATGACAGTTGAGAGCTGATATCCCCCTTTGCTCTATGTCTTGATCCTCTCGGATGTGAGAATCAGCTTTACACTGCCATCAGCACAGCTGGTCCTGCCCCCGTTCCTTCCGCAGGTCACAAACTGTGCTCCCGAGCCCTGAGCCAAAGCAAGCTACTCCTCCCTTAAGCTATTTCTTGTCAGTCACAGAAAGGAGAAAAATCAGGACTACACCATCCCCGCCGTCTCCATTTCTTTTCCCTTCACTTCCCTTCATTCTTTCCCGCCCTTTCTTTAACTTTTTCTTCTTGATTAACATATCATTTGGGCATAACGATGTTCACTGTGATATTTTGATCACATATATATTGCATTTGAGAAGCAAATCTTAGCCGCCTCTGCAGTTTCCCTTCCACTGGCTCGCTGTTCTGTATTCGCCAATGTTTAGCACTCAGACATTTTTGCTTCCCTGTGTAAATCTCCCTGTGTATCCATTACACGGTCCGCTGCATTGTCCTCCACCTCCATCCATTTTGTGACTGTGAAGGAATTTCATTTTTATAGCTGAAAACTGCTGTGTTATACATACAGAGCATATTTTCTTTATTTTTCTGGCGATAGGCACGTGAGCTGATTTCACATCTCAGCTCCAGTGAATCGAGTGACAGTGAGTGTGGGCAGAAAGGTCTCTCTTTTGACATTTTACTGATGAAGCTGCTGACACAAGCTTCCTGACTGGCCTTTTGTACTCCTGTGGCTACTGGGTTAGCCACTCTGCGGTCGGTTGACTCATCATGTAAATGTCATTGAGCAAGAATCAAAACAGTGCCCACCAGAGGGTTTTGCTGTAGTGCAGCACACTGTCGGTATTTTGTTTCACCAATGCCAAATTATCAAGCAGCAGCTTCATAAAAATGCACCAAACAATTATCATAATTCTCTATGTTTACATGACAAATCCAGTCCATAGTAACCTTATAATCCCAGTGGAGTTTCTGTGCCATTGAAGTGGACCGTTCCTGTTGTGTTTAAATGGAGTCAAGGAATCTAAGTGGAAACCCCAGCTCCTGGATAATGTAGATCTCATCATAAGGGTGAAATGATGGCAAGTATATGACGATGAAGAGGTCGTGGTGAGCTGACTGCAAGCGTCAAAAAGATAAGAAATAGAGCGATTCCGGCACCAAGGGCTGTAGGGTCAGATACTAGGTCGTGTTTCCTACGCTTGGACCTTATCACAGATACTAGCTTGGCATCCCCACACAGATATTCGATTAGGTGTTCATGTCCCTTTTTATCCTACTCTACTAAATAGGAAGATCCTGGGAAGACATCGGACTTCACTCACCAAGAGGAAACCGCGTCAGTCCCCTGGCAAGCGGGGACTCAGCTCCCCTCTGCTTCTCAGCCCAGCACCCAGACATGACACCTCGATGTCGCCACCGTGCGGCCACAGGTGGACTAGCACCACTTCTCATCCCGTGGAGCATCAGGGACCCTCGGGGACTTCCACCTATGACTCCGCTGTGACTAATAATGCACAGTAGCTGTGCAAGTGGACATGCCACACTTGGAGCTCCCATGCATGCGTGCAGCCTGCTTCTGTCAGTGTCTGCCCTCCTCCGTTCGCCGACTCTCACCGACCCCTCTAGTCGAATCCTCTTGTCTCTTCCAGTGCCCCATGGCTCCTCTTCTAGGGTCACTCTTTTCTTTTAATTTTCCACTTCAAAAAGTGCAGCAGCGGTCTAAATCCATCTGTCATAATTGCCACAGCATACTGCCGGCCAGTTCCTCTGTTTTCCTGTGAATGACAGTATTTCATTCCTCTTTGTAGCAGAAAAACATCTTCTTTATCCGTTGATGGACACCGCAGCTGATTCCACAGCCTGCCTGTTGTGAATGATGCTGCAATAAGTATGATTACGCTACTTTAGGACACAGTCTTCCCCCAAAAAAATCTTCATTAAATCAGCCAGGCCTGCTTGCAAACTTAATGACCCTCATACAAGGAGACGGGGAGGGTCCCTGGGTCCTCGCCTGGGATTCCTGCCACAGGTCCCTGCTATTTGCATGTAATTCTGCCCTGCTTGCTCCAGGGTTCGCAGTACTGGGGTATACAAGCTGGGGATGAATCATCGAGAGGCATTCCATCAGGACCACCACAGGGGAAGATTTTCTAGTGCAGCCGCCCAAAGGTCACCCACCTGTCCAGAGCTCGCCTCAAATGCCATAGGACTTCCCATAAGTCCTTACCCATTTTATGTTTCCAGTAACTTCCAACACTGCACAAATGACCAGTGAGGGTTGGTTCTTTGAGAATTTCTTGGACATATTTTAATCATTTTCAGATTCCCTCCTCCATCTCCACCAACTTCATGTCCTTTAATATTTTTGAAGGCCTATTAAGTCTAGTACGTGTCCCCAAATACTCCTTATCAACTTACCTGGCATCACACCCTTAAAGAAAGGTAACTCTCCCTCTCCTAGAAGCCGGCAATTGCTGATAGTTCCTCCTGAGGGCCAGGCTTCCTGTCCACCTCCATCCATGCTGCATTTGTGTCTGGGTTGAGCCTGTATAGTCTCGTGCTTCCTGTTATAACTGCCAGACATAAAGATTTCCCACAAGACCTGAGGCACATTTAAAATTTCCACTAACTCCCAGTATGCACAAATAATATTTATATTAGGGCCTTTAAGAAAAGCCTTAGTCATACCTAGACAATGTTCATACTTCAAACTCAGAGAAGAAAAGCCAAGTATTTATTTTCATCCACCAAGCAAGTTGTATACCACAGTGATTGACCAAAGCCACCGGGAAAACATTCCTTTTTATAATCAGAAAAATTCTGGACAATTATCTCATCAGAGGGGCAGACATATTTGAAATTCAGTTTGTGAACCATACACTGGGGAACTGTTTTCATTAAATGCCAAGAGGCTTTCTATAATTCAGACAAGATATAAAGCTAATATTTAATTAAATACATCTTAGACTAAAAAGGAACATCACACCAAGTTTTAAGCATAATGGCAAGGGGCAGAGCAGAGTGGGCAATGGCAGATGGAGGAAGGGAGGGAAGCAACAGTTTCTGAGAGAAAAATATCTCCACATTAAATTTACATGCCTTCAACAGCAAGGGAGAATATCTGTGGGACATAAGCAGCCCGTTTGAGATGAAAGGAGAGATTCAGCAAAGTGTAGCTGAAATGCTTTGAGATAAGACAGTGAGGTGAGCACAGTGGTGCATTGCAGCACTCCAGAAACACAGGCAAGATCACACCTGAGTGTGAGGTAGGCTTCAACTGCATAGTGCATTCTAGGCCTGAGCTGTGGGCCAGGAAGCCCCTAAGGGGCAACTGGGTATTAGGATCCTGTGACTGGAGAAAACACACATTTTGATCATAGGACATGGAAAAATCATACTGAGTATGAGTTTGGATATTCCTTCCTGTTGACCAACTTTCAAAGTACTGTAAAATAATTGCCAGTCACAAGGGGAGAAAAGCCAACAGTTATCTGATCCAGCTCTGGACCCTGCATGCTACAGCAAGAACATTTCAATCAAGATGTCCCCACTAGTGCAATAGTGGCCTGATTGTTTCGTTTGGTTTGTTTTTGCCTTTTAAGACAGGGTCTCCCTGTATTCCCAACTGTTCCAGAACTTGCTATGTAGCCCAGGTTGGCCTCAATCGCACAAAGATACACCTGTCTCTGCCTCCCAAGGGCTGAGATTAAAGGTGTGTGCCACCTGCATCAAAGAAAAGTAAAAAAAAAATAAAGATAATTTTCATAAGAGTAATAAAACCTTTTAAAAATTAAAAGGTAAGAATGTGGGGCTCAGCAGTTAAGAATACTGATTGTTCTTGCAGAAGACCCGGGTTCAAATCCCAGAACCCACATGGCAGCTAACAACTGTCCTAACTCCAGTTCCAGGGGTCCGACAGCCTCTTCAGTCCTCTGCGGGCATTGCACAACACGGGTGCACTTACGTACATGCAGGCAATACGTGCATACACATAAAATAAAAATAATAAATAAAAAAATATTTAAAAGGTAAGAATGTAAGGTTGATAGGGCAGAGGGCCATGAAATGTCTTCCAGGCATGCATAGCCATTACACACATGAGCTCACCGCATTGAGTTGCTGAACAAGTCTGGGCCGTTCAGTATTCACTCCCTCATGGCGGATGGGCCAGGCCCCTCCCTAGACAGCTGCTGCCAGTTGATGGCTGCTGAGGTCATTGTCTTCAGTGATGTCTTCATGGCTCAGTTTCCCACAATCCACTGAGTGACTCCACACCCTTAGCTGCACAGGCAGCTCTGACTGAAATCAGTGTGTCACAAAACAAAGGTCGTGAGTATAAGAGAGGGGACTTGCCGGGAGGGATCTTGGTGGGGTAGAAGTGGGGGAAGAGATGATGAAGAGACAGGTATGCCCCGAATGTGTTACATACAAGCACAAAATTGGGAAAGAATAGGTTTTTAATTTTAAAATAATAAAATGTTTCAGGAATATAAAAAAAAACAAAAACTCAGGTGTAGTGGCACACACCTTGAATCCCAGCACTCAAGAGGCAGAGGCAGGGGGATCTCTGTGTGATTGAAGCCAGCCTGTCTACGTAGCAAATTCCAGGAAATGGGGCTACAGGGAGACCCTGTCAAAAAAAAAAAAAACCACATAGCTCACTACCACTGGGGGTTTGTGGGCAATAATAGGTGACTCACTCGTATGCCAAGGCTACTGCAGACACACAGACACTTTGAAAGCTAAGGGAAAACTGTGACCCCTGTATGATCTTTTACTGGGGCAGGATGAGCATGTTTCAGGAATCTGCATGTTAGAGCTGTTCTATAAACCAGAGCCAGACATAACGTATGTTTGCAACAGTTTTTCTGATATGATAAAGCTTCATGCAAAACAGAACAGAAAAAAAAACCCGTCATTGATCACCAGGAAGCACATGGGAAGGAACGGAAAGCCTAAAGAGGTAACACAGTCAGAAAGAAATGCATTAGCAACATGAAATTGTCGATCCGTTTTAAAAAATAACAGCAATGATATAAAGAAACGTGGAAAACACATACGGTATAACAATTGACCTAAGAAAATTTGACTGACTCCTTAAAAAAAATCGTAAAATCCACTAGAGAACCTCTAATATGAAATACTATACTGCAGAGATGCTGATATTCTCTACAGTGTGATAGCAACTTTGTGCATCACCAATGAGGCATTGAAATCAATAATTACTCTACATATTAGTCCACTATGAGATGTAGAGCTGGCAAGGATTTTTCTCCCACTCTGCGGGGTTTCTCTTCCGTGATTGATTGTTTTCTTTACTGTACAGAGGACTTTTAGTTTCATGAGGTAGAATTTTTAAATTGGCGTTAATTCTTGAGCTAACAGAGTCCTAGCCAGTCTTTTAAAATTCTTTTTTTTTATTTCATGTGTATGTTTTGCCTGTATGTATCTAAGTGCACAACACATGTGCAATGCCTGCAGAGGCCAGAAGAGGGTGCCAGATCTCCTGGAACTGGAGTTACAGACAGCCACCATGTGGGTGCTGGAAACCAAACTTGGGTCCTCAGCAAGAGCAGCCAGTGCTCTTAACCACTGAGCCCTCTCTCCATTTCATTAACATTGAGATTTTTGATCCATTTAGAGGTGATTTTGATTCAGGGTAGAACATACATGTCTAATTACATTCTTCTAGTTGACGTGCAGTTTTCCCCAAGCTACTTCTTTCAGTGTGTGTGTGTGTGTGTGTGTGTGTGTGTGTATGTGTGTGTGTGTGTGTGTGTGTGTTTGCCCAGCCTCCCTGACTACATGCTCTCATTTCTATATGTAGTCACAGGAGATGATGTGTGTGTGTGTGTGTGTGTGTGTTTGCCTCATTGTATAAAATCAGGTGGTTGTATTGCCTGGGCTTGTGTCTGGGTTCTCTATTCTATTTCATTAATCTACAAGCCTGTTTTTGTGCCAGTACCACGCTATTTGTATTATACATAGCTCTGTAGTGCAATTTAAGATCAAGTATGGAAATCTCTTTGATAGCATCCTTTTGATAAAGATTGCTTTGACAAACAGGGGACTTTTGTACGTTCATGGAATTTTACGAATTTTTTTCTATTTCTGTGAAGGACGTCATGGGGCTTTTGACTGAGACTGCACTGAAGCGGTAAATTGCTCTTGGCAGGATGGTCATTTTCACAATATTAATCCTGCCAACCAATGAGCATGGGAGGTCCTTCCATCTTCTAGTGTCTTCCTCAAGCTCTTTCTTCAGCGCTTTAAGGCTTTTCTTAGAGAGTTCTTTCACCTCCTTGGTTACATTTATTCTGAGATATTTTAGTTTTTGAAACAGCCGTGAGCTGTTTCAGATGAAAAGTGAAAGAGATGCAGGCGTCCCTGCTTGCTCACACCAAGCACAAAACCACAGGCATCACTCTGACTCTGGCACCTGACGAGGGGGAGGAGGAACCACTGCTGTGAGTGACAGCTGCCTTTCTTATGGGATCAGAAACTCCACTCAAATTCTCTGAAATTTCACTGG